CTCCTGTTAGGAGTTTGTTCTGCTCTCCTTTCTGTCCTTTCATTTATACAGTGTCTGGATCAGGCAGACCAACCCATCTACCGCCCACTCTGATGTAATGTGTAATATTTTTTCTTTTCTTTCTGCAACAATCACTTTGATAAACAATTTTTTTGTTTTTCTGGCCAGGTTAGAAATTTCTAAATCTGTTCAAAGGTGCATTTCAGCTCAAAAGTGTGTTTTTCCCATGTTGTTATTTTCACATGAATGATTGACACATGAGGAACACATGTGGCTGAGGTGCTAGAATTTTATTCACAAGACTTTTTAAATACAAAATATTTTTAGGTAATTTTAAGTAAGTTTAGGAGCTGAAGAAAAGCTACAGTAGCATGTATAGGTTATGTTGTAGTACATTAACAGCCACTTCAGACTACTAAAGGATAAGTTGTTCATTAAAAATGATTAAAAACTGTAAACTAGCATTTGGTACATACTTTCAGTATTACCTTAGCTTGAACTGACCCAATCTAATCATGTTTATATGAAATAAGCTGCTGCTCACAAGCATGTTTGAGCTACCAAAACTGTTGCTATGAGAAACTCTTGGATGAGTTTTGAAGAACGAAACAATCCTGGATCATGTCAAATAATAAACAAATCCAGCTAACTGAGTAATCCATGTACGAAAACTGAACCCTAGATTAGACGTGTGTGCCACTCATTGTAAGTTTTGTTATATGTTTAATTAGTAGAATAGTTTAGTGTGAAAACGCTAAAGACTTTTTCTTCTTTAGAGATTGTGGGTTTTCAGTTAGAGTTGTGTTTTGTTATATTATTTTCTTTGGCGCCTCTTGTGTTCCTCTTCCCCTTTATTATAACCTTTTACTCAATTTAGTTTTCTTTATTTTGTATTTACTTTATCATCATTTACTCACCTTGGAAAATAAAAACTATTATTGGTGCATAAATGGTTGTTCGTCTGCTCCACTGCCACCACCATTCTCAAAGGGGTCATGAAATTGTAAATGTTGCTGTAACCCGGGCGTTTCCATCTTAAATAACCCTAACACTAATAATTTGCATAAACTCACTTTCAAAATAAACATTCAGTAGTTTGTGCCATCCCCATCCCATAAATCATGTTCACTAAGAGATGAGTTATTTTTACTGCACCACATTTCTGTTTAATGACAATTTATTAATTTTGTGCAAAGGTTCATTTTGGACCAGTTTCATACAGACCCTGTACTGTATTCAGCTGCTATTTAAGTCCAATACTTTTTTATTGAATAGGCCTAACACAGATTTCAGTCTTTAATATAGTGTGGTCATTATTGATTACACAACATGGTCTGCCATGACTGCAGCAAACTACAATAGCACACCCTGCACTGTGCTTGGCTAATTTCATTGACCTTCGTCTTCAAATGTCATTACAGTGGTCACACCTATATTGTACTCTTATTGGAGTCAATCCATTATTATTGATTTTCAAAGGAGATGTTTGTGCATTACGCAAGCTTTAAATGGCAAGTCAAGCCTTAGACCGGCCACATATACAAGACTGAATTCAATGTCTCATTACAAAAAACTGTTACCCATGCGTCAGTGTTAATTTCATTGGCATCTTAATTTTCATGACAAATCACCAACGAAATTCTATATTAACAATTAAGTGATGAACATGACATCTAGGGCTAAACAATAATTCTATATCAATATATATCGCAGTATATTATTATTTTTTTTTTTAATAACGGTGATATGAGCTTTAAACACATTTCCGGTATTTCGCTAAAAATATGCATCCAAAATTGTATTTATGCAACCTCATAATATATTTGGGAGCATTTGTGTGACTGCATATAATGGGTGTAGTGCGACCTGTTTAGATTTTTTCAAAAAACGTTCTAAATCGCTCTTCCCTGCCACTATATTGGTTCTTAACAGCTGTCAGTCACTCAAGTCTTTCCGCTGTCAGATGACTTAGCTTTTGGTTAGGCAGGCTCGCCAGCCTTCCACAAACACAGTAAAATGAAGATCAGCTCATAACGAGACTGACCATTCAAAATGACACAAACTCAAACCTATTCTTTAAAAGAGCGATAGAAGTGAGACTTTACTTTCTTTTGTCCATTCCTTCGTGGTGTTATTTTTCTAGTTACTGATGACTGTTTTGCAGCTTTCAGCATTAAATTGAATGATTTATTATAATGGTTTGTTTGTTTTGTAGCTGAAGTATTATTTATTAAATTGATATGCATAAAAAAACTAGGGATGCACGATATATCGGTGGCCATATCGTTATCGGCCGATAAATGCTATTTTTAAGATTATCGTTATCGATCCGATGTCTAAATTAGGCCGATATCTTTAAACTGATAAATTACGTAATTGTACAGACCTGCCTGCCGCGCATGCCTGGGCGGAACATGTTCAGACTTGTTCAGTGCACTCTAATGGATTTCTCTTTACACTGTTTATTCCTTCAAAGTCCGTCCTTTCTTCATGTTGTATTGCTGTGCATTAATAACTCAGTAAGTAACCATGTTCCTTATCATTGTAGATATGTTTGATTGAGTGTCATTGTGTATTTTGCTTCAAATCGCCTCAGGGAAAAATATTACATATGTAAACCTTTCCTGCTCTGTCTCTTTGTTGTGTAGAGATAGCAGGGGAGATTCACTTATTACTCCAGGGCCGAGTAATATTAGTTTTGGAGTTAACTCCCTTCTCTTTTAGTTGCAGTCGGTGAATGAACCAGGACACATGTATCTTGGCCAAATCACCAGAGGGAACATTGTCTCATTGTGAAAAAAACGCTCCTCTTTTCTGTCTCTCCCTCTTCGCTTCACACACAGACACAAACACACACCACACTGACCTGCACACGTGACATGCTAAACAAAAATTTGTCTGGCTGTTTGTAATCTAATATGATTATTTGTTATTATCAATGCGTTGCTTGCCATGTGTTGTTGATGTAAGATTGTATTCAGTTTGATTGGAATATTCATATTGATTTTAACGAGCACGCGTGAGAGCTGTCACAGCATGCACACACACACACACACACACACACACACACACACACACACACACACACACACACACACACACACACACACACATCGATCTGACAGCCTTAAGCCTTCATAGATCAACAGGGGAGAGACTAGGTGAATCCCTGAATCATGGGCTCTCTTTCTGTCTTTATATTCTGCTCTGTGTTTGTCATAAAGTCATCTGAGCTCAACACTCAGGTTTGTATCAAAATCTGACTCAGAGGGTAAATCTGCGCCCTCACAGCGGTTTATCATAAACTTTTCATCAATCATTTTCCCCACGATTGACAGCAAGAACGAACATAGAAGCATTGATGCTACATGTGTACAAAATAATCTAAAACGCCAATTAGGATGAATTTATGACGCATTTTCTAAAATAATACATTCTGTATTCAGCTGTTCGCTTGTACGGTGTCTCTGAACTGTCAAAACACCTCTAAAAAAGGCTTTTTCGTACATGGCATATTTGTACATGTGTACATCACTGTAACATGTTTTATTCAAGAACATTTGAGCTGATTTCAGTCCTGAGCTCTTTCATTTTCATCTTATTTAAAATATATTTAACTTGCTTGTTGATTAAATCCCACTTTGTTATTTAACCTGTTATTTTTATGCAACAGTCAAGTTTCATGTTAATTTGCTGTGAAGAAACGGAAATATGGTATTGTTTGCATGCTGATTTGTGTGAAATCGTGAATATAAGTCTGTATAATCACTTTGCAATTTTAAAATTATAGTTTTTTTTTTTGCTTTGAGTATAGACTATTTAGTTCATAGGAGCAGTTCAATCTTTAATGAAGTTTGCTGTATAAAAATACAACATTTTGAAATATTTAAAATTATCGTCCTATACATATCGGCTATCGGACTCCAAGTCTGAAGATTTATCGGTTATCTGTATCGGCCAAAAAATCCATATCAGTGCATCCATAATAAAAACAATACTGCACTATAAATATTTCTTACTGTAATGTTTCATTTGTATTTGATGCACACCATACATTGATTTTTCATAAAGTTACAGACTTTTTAGGGCAGATAACTTACATTTAAAGCAGCATCTAAAGAGAAATGTACTTCATTGCAACTATTATTGTCATCTTCATCATCATTAATATTCTATAATTATTAGACATTCATTTTGCAATTATAGGTTATATATATACGGCTACAGTTTAGCTAACCCTGAACTAACTTGCACTAGGTTCACGTGCTGTCTGTGTCTGCTATCATCTTGCCAACCGCCATTTACTGTGCTCCTCTACCACAAAACAAAAACTGCTTAAGTCAGCGATGTGATTATTTCTTACATCTGTAAGGAAGTGATGATACTGTAGTGCTGTAATCTCCTCTGATCAGGGAGTAGCATACAACATAACCAATCTGCCTTGAAGTGAAGCACACTTCTATTTTTGACGTACATCTTCACTTTAGAACTCCTCAATAAGTTAACACAGCCATAAGACTATATAAAAAAACACATCGTCATTTGCCAGACATGTGTCATTACTCTACTTATTTACGCAGTGCTGTACAGCTAAGCATCTGCATTTAAGATATAGCATAGCAGATAAACTGACACAAGGATTCCCAAAGTCAGAGCAGCTTTACTCTCAGATTTCCTCTTCACTGAACCCTCCGTTACACATTTACCACCCTTCATCAGAGAGTTTATACCCTTCACTTGCTCATAAACTACATAGAAAATCTGGTAACACTTTACAATAAGGTTCATTAGTTAATGCATTTAATAACATGAACTAATCATAAACAACACTAAAAAAGCATTTATTAATCATAATTGAACATTTACTAATACATTATTAACATCCAAGTCCATGCCTGTTAACATTAGTTAATGAACCATGAGTTAACATGAACTAACAATGAACAACTGTATTTTCATTAACTAACGTTAACTAACATGAACAAATATAGTAGTAAATGTATTGTTCGTTGTTAGTTCATGTTAGTAAATGCATTAATTAACATTAACTAATGAACCTTATTATAAAGTGTGATCGAAAATCTTCAAATATAAAGTGATGATCAGAAAACAGGGAAAATATGCATGAATCTATCAGTCAAGAGATTTACAGTATGTTTGCAGAGTTTGTATATCAATAATCAGTGCACTTGCAAACACATGGATTTTGTGGCAGATAGAGATATTATGAATATTACTGTAAAGACAGAAACATTAAGCACAAAGCAAGGTGGGTCATATAATTTCCTATACAACACCTAATTCATATAAATGTTCAGCAAATTTGACATGCAATCACTTGACTGGTTAGTGAAGTTACAACTTCACTTTGTATTACCAGCAATATATATGTATGAATGAGTTTCAGGCAGCATACTGAAAAATACAAATAGAAATAAAAAATTAAAATACATTACCTACCTTTAATAGTTAAAGCTTTACTGGTTATTATAACTAATGTTGTGTAAAAAACATTTTTCAGAGAGGACGCAAAGTGAATATTTTCAGAGTTAAAATGAGTTTAGCTGTCTTTTTAAACCAGGGGTAAAATAAAGCATAAACCAGAGGATTCAGACCTGAGTTAGCATATACAAGTAATAACAAAACATTTATGGTTGTGGAGGAGATTACAGTTAGAGAACAGATGCAGTATGGAATCCAGCAAAGCATATAAACTGACACAATGATCCCTAAAGTCAGAGCAGCTTTACTCTCAGATTTCCTCTTTACCGAACTCTTCATTACACGTTTACCACCCTTCATCAGAGAGTTTATAACCTTCACTTGCTGATGAACGACATAGAAAATCCTCAAATATAAACTGATGATCAGGACACAGGGAAAAATAAAAGACACAAAAAGATCAGTGACTATCCAACTAAAACTCATCATGACTAAACACTGTCCATAACACACATCTGTTCTGTGTAAAGAGTCAAAATATCCATTATTAATGACAAAGGCAATGATATAAGCTGAGAAGCAAACCCAGTTCAGACAGATACTCATAAGTGTTTTAGTGATGGTTATTTTCAGTGGGTACTGTAAAGGGTGACACACAGCCACATAACGATCAACAGAAATTAAAACTAAATTACTAAGAGATGCTGAGACCAGAAATGAAATAAACAATATATATAGTGCACAGAAAATGTCTCCAAAATACCAACATGTCTCAGTCAGTCTGATGGCCTCTACAGGCATGACGAGTCCAATAAACAGATCATTTACAGCCAGAGAGAGAATAATCATGTTGGTTGGAGTGTGAAGCTTCTTGAAGTGAGAGATGGAGATGATCACCAGCAGGTTTAGAAACACAGTCCATGCTGACAGCAATGACACAAACAAATATGTGATATATCCATGTCTATAGCGTTTTCCTTTGACACATGATGAGTTGATGTCAGGAAAGCAGTATTGAGTCTCCTGATCCTCTGTCTCATAGGCCATGAGTGACTCTCTTCCTGTTAGGAGTTTGTTCTGCTCTCCTTTCTGTCCTTTCATTTATACAGTGTTTGGATCAGTCAGACCAACCCATTTACCGCCCACCCTGATGTCATGCATAACAATCGCTTTGACAAACAATGAGTTTTCTTCTGGCCAGGTTAGGATTTTCTGATTGTGTTTAAAGGTGCACAGCACACTTCAAATGCATCCTTTGGAGGATGCAACCTCTGAAATGAGACACAGCTAATACGTTTTTTCAAAAACTTCAAAGCGCTGAAGACTTTTCTTTTTCTTCTTAGATAGTTTAGAGATTGTGGGTTTTCAGTTTGAATTGTGTTTTGTTATATTAATATTTTTGGCGCTTCTTTTGTTCCTCTTTCCCTTTATTACAACCATTTATTCTATTTAGTTTTCTTTGTTTTGTATTTACTTCATCATCATTTACTCACCTTGTAATATAAATACTATTATTGGAGCATAAATGGTTGTTCGTCTGCTCCACTGCCTCCACCATTCTCAAAGGGGTCATGAAATGGTTAAATGTTGCTGTAACCCTACCGTTTCCATCTTAAATAACCCTAACACTAATAATTCGCATAAACTCACTTTCAAAACAAAACATTCAGCAGTTTGTGCCATCCCCATCCCATAAATCATGTTCACTAAGAGATGAGTTATTTTTACTGCATCATATATCTGGTAATTCATTAATTTATTAGTTGTGTGCACAGGTTAAACTGTGTTCATACAGATCATTTACTGAATTGAGCCATTTAAGTTATATACTTTTTTAATAGGCCTAACACAAATATCAATCTTACAGATTTTTATTACAATGTGGTCATTATTACTGATTACAACACATGGTCTGCCATGACTGCAGCAAAACTACGAAAGCTCTAACCCTGTCTGCTCTGTGTTGAAGTCTACCCTGCACAGTGCTTGACTAATCTCATTGACCTCCATCTGTAACCATTATTCAAGATAATCACACCTATATTTCACTCGTATAGGAGTAAATCCATTATTGATTTTCAAAGGAGACGTTTGTGCATTATGCAAGCTTTAAATGGCAAGTCAAGCCTTAAAACCAGCCACATATTGACCTTATTCTCCGCAGACGAGCGGGCGCTGCCATTTGAATCTTTTTGGCACGAGACTTCCGGTCTCATTCACTTCTATTCATTTTTAGACATTAAAAACTGCTCGTTTCGCTGTTTGATGTTGTAAACTGGTATTTCCTTGTTATATTATTCTACTTGGTCTGTATAGTCATGCAAACATTTGTTTGTAGAGCAAGTAGTTTGACCGTTTTTTGCCGTTTATTATTCCTTGTCATTTCTCCCATAGGCGACTGAAACGGAAGTTCTAAGACAATCGCGAAAACAGGCGCACTTCCGCATTTTAGAATAAGGTCAATACAGGACTGAATTACGTGCCTCATTAATAAAACATAATGTTACCTATGCATCAGTGTTAATTTTGTTGTTGTCATAATTTTCAAACAAGTTTCTACGGATGAAAATGTGATGTGATGATGACGACAACTTTAGTAAAAATATACTAACATAATAAGACAAGAATATGAGCGAGGAACGTTTTTTTTTGCTAAATATCCAATCAGAACTAATCTTGGTGGGTGATGCAGGACGCACACACGCAAAAAACTGTACACTTTGTGACCTATATTAGATAGCTCGTTCACTAAATCTAAGCAAAAATAAACCTCCACCATTAAAGGTAAATTATTATTATTACTTGTTTTATTATTGTCCAATGAAATATGAATATATACGTGTTTATTTTATAAACAGTTTTACGTACAAACACAATAGTGATACAAATAATGTTGTGCGAATGTGTTGGCTAATTTGTAGACATGTCTGTCAATGAATTAGGATAGAAATTCCGGCTTAGAGTAATCTTGTCTTTCTGTGCCTGTTTTGAGGCCAACTCACTTTTTTTAGTTTCATATTTGTTGGGCTTGCAAGAAAAACACACAGTCTGCTCATTGTTAAGGGGTGGTGTGCATTGTATTTAGTAAATATTACAAATAACTCCATGTTTGATCTGTCTCAGGTCCTACAGTGACATTATCAGATTGTTTCACACTCTACATTACATTAAACATAAATAAAACCAACAAATAAGTACATAAATAAAGTTATACATATAAGGTTTTACTCCCTACATATCATGACACTCTCACTTCATCATATGTTTACAAGCCTTTTTGCACTATATACTGTTCTATATCTGCACAACTCAACAATGGTAATGTTATATGTTGAGAAGCAAGCCCAGCTCAGACAGATACTCATTAATGTTTTAGTGATGGTTATTTTTTGTGGGTACAGTAAAGGGTGACACACAGCCACATATCGATCAACAGCAATTAAAACAAAAGTACTAAGTGATGCTGAAAGAATTACTGCAATATATAATAAATAGAGTGAACAGAAAGTGTCTCCAAAGAACCAACATGTCTCTGTCAGTCTGATGGCCTCTACAGGCATGATGAATCCAACAAGCAGAATAGAGCCGAGACCACCTCATTCAAGCGATCTCGGAGCGGTTGATTTGGCGCGGATCCTAGCACGATTGCTGGTTTCATATATACCAAATTAACTGTGCTAACTGGGCAAACGAGACAAAATCTGAAACAAAAGTGTAGGTGTGAAAGCACTCTTGAAGCATCTTTTTCATCATCCATATTAATATTAAAGACACCAACAATTAAACGTTTATCTGTGGCCAGAACTATTTCGGATAACAAATCAGCGAATTACTTTGCGAAGTCTGTATATACTGAAGCAAATTTAATATATTGAAGTCAGATTGCTGAGTAACACTAAACATATTACTGTATATTATGTCAATTTTGATTAGCTTTATTTTTTATTTGATGAACATCAATAAGATTATTAACTTTAAAGGGGTTTCGGAGACACTGTTCTATATGTTCTTATATCTAGGTGGCTCTATGTGCTGCAAATTATCTGAGTAAGGTAAATTGTGAAGGCTAGCAAACAGTTAAACCAATCTGTCTGCTCCCTGACCTGGGCCCAAGTTAGTCAAGTGCCAACACTAAGACTATATGCCAGATTACTGGAGGGGAGAGCTGCTCCAGCCTGGGTGGGATGAAGACCATCTCTCTATAACAGGTCAGGTCTACTCCAAAAACTCGGACAATTGTCTATAAAAACCTGTTATTTAGTGGCCACCACTTTGAGATCCAGCCATTGAGTGATGAGGATCGGCTGTGGGACTCATCACCATGATAAGTCAGCAGGAGACCAGAACATATTACACCTGACATCGTTTTTGCAAGATCACACACCTCTTTAACATTACTTCTAGTGATCTCTGACATTACAGATAGTGTACACTTATGCACCTGCAATGTCATTGCAATTTTATTTTCTTATCAGGGGAAAATTTTAACACCAAGTTTGCATCATCATAGTAAAGGCCCCTGGTCCTCTCGTCCTTCACTGTCATCAGCTCTGCTTTTTCTTCTGGAGCTCTTCTGTTGGGCTGGAAACCTGTGTGCTGCACAGGTCACTATTATTATCACTCACACCACTGACCTTATTAAAATAACACCACTGTCAGACACACAACACTCATTTCAAATTCTTAATCAACTAACTACATATATTTATCATTATATAAATTAGATATATAAGCAGGTCTTTAGAGATCATGCAGAAAATTAAACATATATTGGTTTAATATCACCATTTCAACACATTCAACATTCACTTTTTGGACACAGAATGAGCATGTGTCAAGTTTTTTTATGAGTCAGGAGGTTTTTATTTGCAGTGTTTGTATATCAACAATCTGTGCACTTGCAAACACATAGATTGTATGGCAGAAATAGATATTATGAATATTACTGTAATGTCATAGAAATATTAAGCACAAAGCAAGGTGGGTCATATAATCTCAGCAAACTATGCCTAATTTAAGTAGATGTGACGCAATTACTATGTTGGTTACTTAAGTGCCATCTTTTTCTTTGTATTACTAGTAGTATGTATGTTATTTATATGTCAAACATACATAAACACACACACACACACACACACACACACACACACACATATATATATATATGTGTGTGTGTGTGTGTGTGTGTGTGAATGAGCTTCATGCTACGCAATGAAAATTACAAATAGATTTCACAACTAACATATCTACCTTTATTAGTAAAGCTTTACAAGTAATTATAATTAATGTTGTGTAAAAATATTGATCAGAGAGGATGCTGATTGAAATATTTTCAGAGTTAAAATTAATTTAGCTGTTCTCTTAAACCAGGGGTAAAATAAAGCATAAACCAGAGGATTCAGACCAGAGTTAGCATACAAGAGCAATAACAAAACATTTATGGTTGTAGAAGAGGTTACAGTTAGAACATACAAATAGTATGGAATGTAGCAAAACATGTAAACTGTCACAATGATTCCTAGAGTCAGAGCAGCTTTACTTTCAGATTTCTTCTTCACTAAACCCTCTGTTACACATTTACCACCCTTCATTAGAGAGTTTATAACCTTCACTTGCTGATGAACGACATAGAAAATCCTCAAATATAAAGTGATGATTATCAAACAAGGAAAAATAAAAGACATGAACAGATCAGTGACTGTCCAACTTAAATTCATCATGACTGAACACTGTCCATAACACACATCTGTTCTGTGTGAATAGTCAAAATATCCATTATAAATTACAAAGGCAGTGATATAAGCTGAGAGGCAAACCCAGCTCAGACAGATACTCATAAGTGTTTTAGT